AGAGAGAGAGAGAGAGAGAGAGAGAGAGAGAGAGAGAGAGAGAGAGAGAGAGAAAGAAAGAGACTCGGCATGAAAGCTCCTCAGGGAGAGTGAAAGGCCGTTCATTTTTTACCTGGCTGTGCGTCCTCAACAACAATGCCTTGTCATTCTTAGGGGAAAATTTTTCCTGTATGCATGAGCACGGATCGAGCAAACCAGCCATTCACAATCAGAACAAAAACTAAAAAGGATACAAAATAGTCAGTCCACACCAGGATCAATAATGCACATGTGGATTGATATAACTCCACAGCATTCCTTTTCCGTTTTTCATTTATTCACACAACTGCGGGCCGGAGGGGGGGGCAAATATTGCAGGTGAGGTGAGCAAGCCCAAGTAGAAGGCACCCCATTTGTATATGGCTCTAATCTATTGGTCTGCACCTCGATGTGGAGGGGCCTGCAAGCATTATAACCTGGCTATTTTATCCCATTTGGACTTGCAAGCAAAAGGGACCACTTGCCCAGGCAAGCCAAAAACGGAAAAAATAAATAAATAAATAAATAATTTATATATATCGTTCAGGGCTGTAAACCCGGTCCACCGGGGGGTCCACCCCCAACCAGAACTGGGCCGGTTGCCCCCTGGTCGGCTATAGCGCATAGCCGAAATCTGGCCGATTCAAATTTTTTTGGGCCCCCCACATGAGTTGTGGGGGCCTCCTTGCCCTAAAAAAAATTGAAACGGGTCAGAGGGCAGCCTCCAAGTTTCGAAAAGGGCTGCCTCTCAGGAACGCTGATCTCGAAAGATCAGCGGCCCAGATGAGGCCTCCCTTCTCCAAATGAGGAGCTGCCGTTCCCTCCCACCTACAATTTCTTGCCTCCCCCCGACTCACCTGCCCTTCTGTCAACAAGCCAATGTCCCCACTGTCGTCGCCCGTCGCAGTCGTCGTCATCATCGTCGTACAGCGAAGCCAGCCCCCCCGCCCGCCATACGTTTCCTTCTTCTTCTTCTTCTTCTTCTTACGTTCTATGGCAGTGTAGGCGCGCGAGTAGGCACGCGGTACACACACACACACACACACACACACACACACACACACACACACACACACACACACACACA